AAAGCAGGTGACCACACCTGGAACATCTTCTGGACGATAGCTGCCCAGATGGCTGGGCAGGGGCACGCATGGCTGTAGTGCCGCACAAAGGCCAACCCTGCAACTGCAGTCCACTGGCAGCTGGCCCAGAGGGGCAGATGCCTCTACTGGCTCTGCAGTCCCCATCTGAGTCTGGCAGGTGCAAAGCAGGTCACAGTCAGGCAGCAGCCCCCACTGCCAGACTGCTGCAGTGGGTAGAGGGTGCAGGGAACTCAAAGGGCTGCTTCAGCAGTCTAGCTGGCACAAGGGGTAGTGTCCCCAGGACCATTTAGCTGGGCCCCAGAAGCTCCTGAGAGCTGGTAGCCCTGAGCTACTTGCCAGGGCAGCTTTTTATACTGCTGGGGACAGCATAGGTACTTCCCCTGGGCTTTAGCTCCCCCTGGCTGAAGATCCAGGAGGAGCCAGGCAGGGTTATCGTGCCCCAAGTGACACAACTGGCTCCACAACAAAGTGCGTGTCCGAGCATGCGCGCTGAAGCAAAAAGCACCAGCTCAAATTTTCACTGCTTCTATCTGAGCTGCTGCAAGCACACATGCTTGCATGTGTGGACATGCCCAATGTGTGCAACCAGTACCACAGTTAAAAAAGAATAAGGTGTTCAAAGCAATAAGAATGACTTCAAATCAACCTATACGTTTAATCTGTAATTTATAAGAAGTGCCATACTGGGTCAGACCAATGGTCCATCTAGACCAATATTCTTTTTCCAACAGTGGCACAAATGGGTGCTATAAAGTGAGAGCACTGAACTGGATGTCTCTAGAGTGATCTATCCTTTATTTAATATCCTCTGTGGCATCCACCATTACTAGTTGATTATTCAAAACTGAGAACATCAGTAATGAAGCTATAAACTTTTGCTATTTTCTGGTATTTCTATTCGCCAATAAATGTTATGGTTCCATGAAGGACCAGGAGGAAGTCTCCAAGCAACATATAAAAATGCTATTCCTCTAGAATTTCCCATGCAGCTGAAATAAGGCTGGACAAGAGATTCTGTGAGTGAATCTTTTAATAGACTTCTCAGCAAAATGGCACATCAGAAAAAGGTTTGGTGGCTTCTCAGGTGATCAAGCCTGATCAATCTTTTCAGTTTTGGCACTTGATTTTATACTTTTCATAACACATATGCATAATATTTTAATAAACTATATAATTATCTCCAACCAGCTCTGTGGGAAAAACAACTTAGTCAGGGCTGTAGCATCTCTGGCAGAACAGTGTAGACCCTAAATTAATAGAGCATATTTTGCTTACATGGTATGTACATTTAAACAGATTAGAAAGAATAAAATTAACTCTTGTACATAGGGCTCTCACAATATCTATGAGCTGAATGTAGAAGGGGTCTTGTAAGAAAACAGCATATAGCATTAGAATTAGATGGATAATTTTAAATGCGATATTTCCTAATCGTGAGTTCTCAACTTTGCACTCTTGTGGAAGTATGGGGGTTTTTTTTGTTTGTTTCTGTTTTTGCTTCTTTTTTTTTTTAGGTGGGATGGAAGGTGCAGGGAAGATGTTATATGCAATAATATTGTGTGTGTAATTATACATGGCACTGACAGTCTTAATGGCTATCATTATAGGCTTTTAGAAAAAGAAATGAAATGTATATTGAAACTTGATGATATTAAATTACTCTCCAAGAACTTGGACTTTCACTGAGGAACATCAAAAGGATAAATATTGAGAAATGGTACTGTTGATCATAAAATACTTTGAGGTATAACACTGAAATCCGTGACATAAAACTTTCAAGATGTGACAAATCAAGTGAAATTTCAAAAACTTTGGGGACTTAATCTGTCATGCTGAAATACATTATTGAATCCTTCATTACAAGAGCAAAATGTTTTAAAAACCTGCCTTTGTATTAATTCAGAATGAGTGAGATGTGGCAGGTATGCTGATTACTCATACTTATTAAAGATCCCATAGCACTTTTTATAAGGGAAAGAGTGTTAACCTTTGTTTTCTGGCTAAGTTCCAACTTAGGTAAATAAATTTTGCCTGCTGTTCTTGAATTCCCTGTGTATTTGCAGTTAGATAAGCAATTCTTCACTTCTCCCCAAAATGCTTATGCATAGGCATACAATGGTAGCAGAGCAGTCGTGCAGAACCACCTCCCCCTCCCAACAAGCATGGAAGGAAAAGCATTGAAAATGTTTATTGAGTCCCAAAGGCAAAGTGTAAAAAACTGTTATAACTGTGGGTACACACTTCCCTGCCCCAGTTGCCATCACCACAGGCTCAGTTGGCAGAGAGCACCTCAAGGTTAGGGTGCAGTTGTGGTACAGTAGGAATGAGAAAAATTCCCCCTCTAGCAAAATACCTCCCAGTCCTCCCTCCCTCCCTCCTTCCCTCTCTCTTCCCCATCTCCCCCCTCTCCCTCCCCTCCCAAAGTATTCTTAGTAGAAGAACAGTGCTGGGAAGTCAAGGGCAGCCCATGGCAGGACTCTTTTTAGACATCTAGGGACTGGGGAAATTCTCTCTGGGTTAGGGCATAGGCTGAGCAACACATCAACAGTGGTGATGATCATTAACTCTTCTGAAGGGGGCATCAGCTCATCGTAGCAGAGACACAGGAAGCAATCAAAGTGCTATCTCATGTTGAGTGGCAATCCAGAGCTCCCCAGCGTGTCGTCACAGCAGATAACCCCTCTCCAGCTGTTGAGATGCTCCTGGGGGACCATGTCTGGGAGAAGGAGCATGGCATATTGCCTGGGGCTCCTCTGAGATAACAAGAAAAGCTCATCCCTCTGAGCCCACTTGACTCTCATTAGGAGAATGTAGGGAGCCTACACCTGGGTTGTCAGACATGCAGAGCTGAAATGTCTTTCTGGATAGAGAAGAACAAGGAAAGATGGTGGTGTAACCACCATCCCAGCTGCAACGCACCCTGGCAATCTCATGACCTAGGTGTTGCTCCCACAGGGATCCAGTGCTGAGATGTCTCTCCTGTAAGGGAAGACAGGAAGGAGTTGCCATCACCACAGGCTGTTGGCAGAGATAGACATGAACATGTTGGGGGATGCTTACATCTGGACTGCCAAGGCACAGGAATGGGGTCTCCAAATGGCCACCTGCTGTTTTGGGGAGACAACATGTGGCACTGTGGAGCTGAGAGAGGGGGACAATTCTTCCACTCCCCATGGCCTCACTACTGGCCCAGGTCCCACCGTGGGGGAGCACTGACACCTTGAAAAGGACAGGCAGGACCTGGGTTTGGGTGAGCTGCAATACACAAGCCTCAGGTATGGGCAAGAGCTGTGGGTACTGGGTCCTTGAAGGGGGAGGCTGGACCTGGGGGCAGTGGCTGGAGGCCATGAGGCCCACGTGGAAGAACAAGGAGTCAGCGGTGCCTATTGTGGTGAAACCTCCCACCCTACAGTCTCCTAACCCCTGGCCCAGTGGCTACTTCCCATCCCACAGCTCTCACAGACAGACAGGGGGTCCAGCATCACAAATCTGTCCAGCTCCAACATGGAGAAATCCCTGGTCTTCAATCCCAAGACCTGAAAATAAGGTGCCAGGTCAAAATCTCCTTATTTCAAGCCTCTCCTCCAAGATTTTATGTTTGTTAAGTTTAGCCCCTCCAGTATTCCCCCTGACCTTACCCCTCCACATACAACCATCCTCATCCTAACCATCCCTTCCGTCCAAGTTCTTCTGCTGCTTTCTCAAACCCCTCCACCCACCCTTTCCAAAGGTTTTCTGGTTTGTGTTAATTGGGAAAAGGGACCAAGTTTTGCCGTGGACAGCATCCGACAGATGATCTTTATTAAATCACAAAAAGTGTGGCAGCTGCAACATGTTATTAAATGGAGGCATGGTTCTTCCTCATGCTGCATTTCTCTGCACCCCACTGGGTTAACCTTGGGGGTGCGGGCACTGGGTAGGGAGTGGAGAAGGGGAACAGTTCCCAGGAAACCTGGGTTGTTGGCTGTGCTGCTCAGGATGCAGGGCCAGAGAAACCCAGAATAGGAGACTTGTGGCCCAGTGTCAGGGTACAGTTACTCAAAGTCCTCCACCCCTACCTATATGGGGAGGGCTCCTAGCCTACAAGGGTAAGGAGGTAGTTGTCCAGAGCTTTGTGGATCCAGAAAGCTGGCTGCTGTATGGGGCAGGGGACCCTAATATCAGCAGAAGGATCACCTTCTCTCCCATCCCTGTGCCACATGTGCTTACACTGCCAGCCCCAGCCCATGCACCATGACTCCTCAGCCTGGGTGTTGCAGAAAAACTCCCTCCTGGTCTTGCAGAAGTTGTGGAAGGCCCACACAATGATGATGAGTTGCATTAGGTTTGCCTCATCCACCCTGAGGGGCACACTGAGCCCACCAGTGTGTCTTGAAGCAACCAAAGGAAAGCTCCGTTTTCACGTGGCACCTTCTCAGATAGTAATTGAAGTGCTCCTTCCAGTGGTCCAACTGCCTCCCATAGAGCTTCATCAGCCAGGGCAGGAGGGGGTAGGCTGGGTTCTGGATGAGAAGTGGAGACAATGATGTCACTGATGATGAAATTGGGGACACTGGGACCATAGCACCCACTCTCCATCAGCCCAGGGAGTGCTGACCCAAGCATCATGGATGCTGCTTGCCCAGCTGGTGAAGATGTGGGTGAAAGGGCCCTAGTGGTCAAGGATGCACTGCAAGACAACAGAGAAGTAACCCTTGCAGTTAGTGAATGCCTGGGTGGCTTGGGCCAGGCAAAGGATGGGGATGTGGGTGCTGCACATGGCCCCCACACAGTTGGAGGAGCTCATGCAGCAGAAACTGGTGACCACCTCCTTGGGTTGATGAGGCGGATGAAGCAGATGGCTAGAAGCTGGACATCCTGGATGTTACTAGGCACAACTCCCAAATGGCCTCTCCAGCTGTGGTCCTGCAGTTGGCAAGGTAGATGTAACTGATGGGAGCAGACAGCTTCATGCCAATGATAGCCACCCACTTTTCTTGAGTGGGAGTGAGTTGTGGCCACATGCTGACCTCCTTGTGTGCAATATGGGGGACAGCTGGGCAACAATGTTAACAAAGGTGGCCTGGCACAGGTAGAAGTTTTCGAGCCACTCTTCATCATGCCAGTCAGTGCTGATGGCACAGACTGGTGGTGGTGCAGACTCCACCTTTCTGGAGCCACTCTTCACTGTGCCAGCTGGTGCTGGTGGAGCAAGCTCAGCATCGGCACACTACCACCAGTCTGGTGGTAGTGCCAGAGCATCTTGGCATCCATAGCATCCTGGATGGCCTCATCTTCATTGGCCACATGAAGGTCAGTGGGCCTGGCTGGGATGCTAGGCAGATACTGGGTGTGATGGGTGGGTATTGAAAGGATGGCTGGCTAGTGACTTGTAAGCATGAGAGTGTATTTCATGCTGAGACATTATCACATCAGGTCCAGTTGGGCATTCATGTTGTCCCACAACTTCTGGTGAGATTCAAGCAGGGTGACCAGCAGGACATACCACAGTTCCTGGGTCTCTGTGCCTGGGTGCAAGCAGTGGGATGCCATAGCAGGGCACAGGCAGGGCAGGACATGGAGGCATGTGCAAGTCACAATGGTGGGGGGTGCACGAGACAATCAGCAGTGATGCTTCAGGGGGCTAGGGATATGGTGCCCATGTCAAGCAGCCAGTCAGGGGTGGCTCACCCATTCAGCTCTGCTCGGGAGTCTTCAGTGACCTGAGGAGCCTGAGGGGCATGCTAGGAGACATGCAGAGCACCTCGTACATGCTGACCTTAGGCAGTGTGGGCAGGATCCAAGTCCCACGCATTGAATGCTGAACATCTGCTCAGATCATTCCCACTGTAACTTAGAGCGCTTTGAGTGAAGCATGATAGAGTGCTTTTGACTTGGGGGTTTTGAACATCTATACTTAGCCTTGGAAACTAAACTGCCTTCCAGTCTGCAATTGGCCAGGATGTCTCGGATAAGGCAGGGTACAGTTGTCCCTGTGAAAAGATGGGAAAGGCTCTCTTATGTCAAAATTTCCCCTGCGATTATGTGTTCCTTCTGTTAAGATATATATCTTCCAAAAAAAAGTTAGTTTGGTCACAGCTTTCAAGTGACAGACATGCTGGTAGCTGAAAGTCATGATGGGAAGTATCATGAGTTTTGGGTGATGAAACTACAAACTAACAATAATTAGTATAGTACAGAAACTAGATTTTTAAATGTTAAAAGGAGTTTTCCAAAAACCAATTAAAATAAAGATTTGAAAACTGCCCTCTAACGTTTTCCAGAAAATGCAGTTCAACATTTCTTTCTATTTTTCATTTGTTGTCATCTTGTATTTTATAATATGAAAAATAAAAGAAACATAATTTTAAAATAAAAAACCCTGAAACATATTTCAGAGATGTTAATTTTTCAGTGGATTGTGACCTCATCAAAATGCTTTTCTCCTTGATTTGCATTTCTAAATGGCTGGGGATTTTTATTAAAAAAGAGAATTTCTCATTAAATTCTCACGTTTCCACATTTTCTAATGGAAAAAATGTTCTGTTGGATAATTTCTGACAAGCTTGAATAATAAATAAGAAATAGAGCATTGATATCTGCAATTCATAGCATTTGTACCCTCCAATTAGTTTCTTGCTTTTTCTCCTTGGCCTCTTCTCTTTGGCCTCTTACCAGTTTAACATCTCACATTTATTTTCACTAAAGTGGGGCTAAGGTGGTGATATATAAATGTGTGCTGGATATGTTTGGACATTGTAAGTGGATGTGCATTTAAATTACTTTAAGTCATATTACTAAGTTTTTTCTGGCATAGATGTTTCAGGTGGAAATATGACAAAGATGACACCTGTAGCCAAAGTAGTTGTGCCAGCCAACCCCCGAGTGTGAACAATTCTGCTGGCAAAATAAATTTTTGCTCCCTAAACTTCTGTCATTCATGGAGCTAGTACAATTGCACCAGGGGATTCTGCTGCTGTAGCTACAGCAAGAGCAGCATTGCAAATCTGAAGTCAGTTGCCTGAAATCTAGCTGAGTCTGAATTCCTGCAACATACAGAGGGAAAGCATAAGATACATCAGTATTGTTTTCCATTAGACTTCCTTAGACTCATTTCTGAATTTGGCCCTTCTCATCAACAGACATGGCCAAAAATGAAGCAGAACTTGCAGCTCATCAGCACTCCACAAGTACTCCAGCATATAAAACGATTGCCAAGGTTTTTCTTCTTTCAGTTTTCCGCATATGCAGCTGTTCTCATGTGCTAAGGAGAGCAGATGGAATGAATTACATATTTCAACAGTCCTTGACATCGCATCAAACACCTTGGCTTTTAGCTTGAGAAGAGGAACTCCTGGGACTTTTTTTTTCAACTTTCACCATCCAAATAAAAGTCATATGCAGTTATTTCCTTCTTTATAGGCCAATATAGCAGTGCCATATGCTGTAGATTTGCAAGTCTTGCATAACAAAAGAGTGCAACAACAGCAAAGGGAAATGTTCTGTATTATACTATTCAGCTAAGAAAAGGCAGTAATCACTGGGCTGTGTACTAGATGTAACCTCTAAAACAGAGTTGCACACCAGGTCCTAAAAGGCAAACATCAGCTGCTTTGTCTTTTTCATAGTGGGAATGATGTTTCAATTCTGTACTATTCAAGCCATGCCTAAATAAAAAGTCTAGTTCTGGCAAATATTTGACATTGTTTACTTAAAATATCTAACATGCTTTAAAAATATAATTCTTTTACATGTTTGTCTTCAGACTGACTTTTATAAAGATTTTACATTGTATTATGATGATTTTCTAACCATTTATTTAGATCTTTTCAAAATGTGGCTTTTCTGTCTGTATTTGCAGATACTGTAAACATACTATTATGGAAAGTGCTTCTCAAGTGGCCTACTACTTCTTCCCAACTATTCATTCCTGACTCTCCTTTTCTTCAAGCCATGGAAGTAGGGTTGCCAACTGTGTTTGAAACTATTCTAGGAGGTTTCTGGAGTGCCAGTATGCCCACAACACCCAAAGTGAATGTGTCCGCATACTTGCATATATCAGTTATGGATTACAGTGCATGGACTTTGTCAGGAAGGCAAATGACCATTACTATTACTTTTAAAAAACCCACTGGACTATTGTATACATTGGATTCAACATTTAATATTTATTTGAATGAATGTCCTATCATTTATCTCTTGGGTGACTCAGAAGTCTCCTGGAGATTTATATCTAAAGTCTGGAGGCTTGTAGGGCAATCCTGAAGGGTAGGCAACCCAACCTGGAAAAACAAATGCCCTTGAAAGTTCACATTTAAACAAATATAAAATATCAAACTGTGACAGGAAGTAACTTTAAATGATCATATCTACCCAAGGAACCTTGTCTTCAAGTGATGAATAATTCTTGCTGAAAATAATCTTTCAGCCTGATGTGGATGGAAGAGAAGGGACTCAGCTCAGAAGTTCATAAAGAGGAAAAAAGGCATTTTTTAGCCACCATTTTCATTTACAATTCAATCTTGAGTAATCATCTAACTAAATGTTGTGAAACAATTTGAAAAAAAATGGTACCTTGCTTTGTTATGCACACTGGTTTTAAGGCTCACTGTCTTTCTTAAGGAAGCATAAGTTATCAAGATGATAATTCTTTGATTTCACATTACCAGTGTTTTCTTTCAGTCTTGCACTTTCAGTAGATGAGGGGTACATACAAGGATTATATTTAGATCAACCTAGGTTAGATCAAACTAAAAGCCTCAGCCTGCAGAACTTCCCAGGGCTTAGGTTGCCTTAAAAATGGCATGCCTAATCTAAAGTTCATTGACCTTGGGGATAAATTAACTATCGATTGATAAAGGGTTAAACCAGTTTAGCAAGTGGTAACCTTAGTGAACACCTGCATGTGTTCACAGCAGTCCTGGAGATGGGAAAGCCATGCCACAGCCATAGGGATGAACTTTTCTTACCCCCAAGACCCTGACTGAGCTATTTTTTCCACCCTGCTCCACTTCCCCCACCATGAGTTATTTACCTCTAGCTGCCTGCAAGTGCTCCCAGCAAGTGGTAAGCACCTGCACATGCTGCTCTTGGTTTAGGTTTAGGCAGCTTGTTCACACCCAAAATGTACACATCGTGACCTCAGAACCCTCTACTTTTCCTGGTCAATAGTAGTTACTCTGCTGTTTTCAGCTAATGAACACATTTTGAAATTTTTTCAGTCTGCATTGTTACTGTATTCTCATACAGCTTTTCAGCTGGAAATTCTGCATGTTCAAGTAACTTTGATCCTGGCAAGCTCAATTCTCCTTTGAAATGCATCACCCAGCACATACTGATCACTGATGTCAATCTCTTGGATTATCATATTTAGTTTAATCTCTGCTCCTTTTGACACTTGGATAGCAGCTAATTTTCTTCTTTTTGCTAAAGCTACTTCCTTGCATTAAATTAGCAATCTTCACCCTACCCAAAAATCCAGTATTCCAATTTTATATGTTATTCAACTTTGCCTCTACATCTATTTTAATTGCAACTTCGCAAAAAGACATATATCACATTTCATTGCAGTATAGCTAGTCTTTCTTTTTCCCTTAGAAAACCTCTTTGGCTTCTTTCAGAAGAATTCTTTATGGAAGAAACAGATTTAAATGGGCAACCAGTTGCTTCTCTCATAATTATCTATCTCACTTAAAAAATATATGCTTAAGGATTCTCAGATATCTACTCCTTGGCAAATGTTCACATTGCAAAATAATTTTCTGCAGCTTCTAGATATACCAGGTACATTCATAGTTTTAGAGTACATTGTGAATCTCCTACTAGCTGTCTACAAGAACTTTCCTATTTTTCTTAATCTTTCCTCCCAATTTAATATGTATACATTTGTCTATCATTACAAAGGATACAATATGAAAAAGGGGGTTCTCTTTCTTACTTTTTGTCTTTTCTATATTACTCTAGAGGCTTAATGTTTTATCTTCTTTCCTTTTGTTGAGATTATCTTATCTGCTCTCTTACCTTCTCTCTCCCTGGCATCTGGCTCTTTTTTAAATGGGGGAGGGACTAATGGAGGGAACTTCTTGACTGGCAACTCCTCAGTTCTTTGTAGCTATACATTCTCCTAATCTCATAATTTCCTTAATAAGCCTGCCTAATCAAACTTTTCCTCAAATATCTAGGTAGTATTCTTTATAGAAATCTTTACTGCCTGAAAATATACCGATGTTAGCCTACTAATACATCACCTTGTTAATCTATTTTATTAACAGATCACTTTGTAATTGATGAAGAAGATATGATGCAGTCTAAGATGTAATTGAAATAGAAATTGAGGTGTCACAAATAGTCATTAATTTAAATTAGTATGCAACTATTCATAGAACTTGAATCATTCATTTAAAACACAAACGCTAGCAATATATATGTGTGCGTGCGTGTGTGTGTGTGTGTGTGTGTGTGTGTATGTATGAATGTGCTTTTATGATCAGTACAGAAAAGCTTGCTTAGAATGCAATGAAAATTCACTGTTTGCATTATTCTGCAGTCCATATGAAGATAAAAACCTCACTGGAGATTTGTCTATTTAAGTACCTAGCTCTGCAGTATCTAGCTCTGTAAGTGAGGGAGAGCTTAAATCTAAGTGGAATGAAAGTCTGTTTAATTACTACAACAATCTTGGTCTTTCATTTCAATTCACTCTGAGTTTTACAGCCAGATGCTAAGCTGTTCTTGTAAACTGGTGTTGCTTCACTGAAGTATATGAAGCTACATCAATTTACACTAGCTAACCCTCTGGGTTCATGATAAACAGGATCTAAATTCTATGACCATATGTAAGCAGATGCATGTATGGACAACCAGTGAAATTTACCTGCTATTTTTTAACAAGACTTCGGGCTATGAGCTGAATTTTCCAGAAAAAGAGAATGACCTTGTGTCTCTCTTTTCAAGGGGGAATTCCAGTTACTGATTAATGGAACTCTTTTAATAGTACTCAGCACCTATATAGTATTTTGGTTTGTGCATCTCCAAATGCTTTACATTAGTTGGATATTATCACTCTCTCTATTTTGCAGACTGAGAAATTGGCAGAGCAGAAAGGTCGAACACCCAGTCAAAACGTTATGGTTCCTTTCAGCTTTTGGTTCCACAGCCAGTGGAAAAGCTTTAGTAGGAAGCAATGTGTATCTTCCCAGCCACTGCATATGTGCTATCTGTGTTTGGAGACACTCCCTCATACAGCAGACCATGTGCCTTCAAATAACAGGTATATGGACTAAAATCATAGCTGAGATTCTCTATTACTCTCACTTGAATATCATGTTCTGGTACTTGCATGATGGGTCTTCCTGCACCAAAAGAAACAAAATAAAACCCATCTCCAGCAGTAGCCACTGCAAGAAAGGGACAGATTTTATTGTACTCACCAAAAAGGAGGGACATGTAGGGTTAAATCCTTCATCTGTCTGATGTGGAAGAATGGCTTGATCCCAAGCTACAGAGCTAGTCTCTTTCTCTTTGGGATCATTAATTTTAACATTAGGAGCATCTCTAACAGAATGGCTTGAGATAGACTCTGTAGCTTGGTACATAGGATAGTCTCTTGGGTTTTTCAGAGCCCTAGCTTCCATTCTCTGAAATAAATTAAACTTAATGGATACTTGAACTGCATCCTGGCATACCTCCAGTGAGTGCCCAAGTCTTTCTCTCTATCCAAAAATTCTACCTAGCCTGTGAAAAACCTTTCCCAGTGAAAGTTTAATCAGAATTACACATTACAGCAAGAAATTTGCAGAACAAGTTCAGTGTTCCAAATGTCATGCCCCACTGTATAAAATCTCTAAGACTGATTTAAATTAACAAAATATTCAATAGGCACATCTACATGGTGCCCCTATGGCATTGTTGTTACTGTGTCACCATTTAATACTTCCTTTGCTTCCTCAACAAAGTACTAAATGATGGCACAGCAACAGCCATTACTGCGCCATGCCAGCTGTGCATAGTTATTTTTAGCCACTGCGTCACCATAGCGATGCGCTATCCCAAGGGAGCATGTCAGTATGACAACATAGCTGTGGCATCATGGTTTGTGCCCAGTGATGCTACATGTCCATAGCTCATTGCTACAGAAATGTAACATTGTATGTAGACATGCCCAATGTGACCTAGAGAGTATTCTAAAAATTGTATGCTAAAACTTAGATTTTCAGGTGGTTTAAAGTCTTTAAATTCATAATATCTATTAAATGAAAATTGTATATGACTTTTGGGTGGCTTTAGAAAATTTGATCTTAGATACTAAAGCACTTATAAGTTACTTTTGAAATGATAGTATAACCCTCCACATCCTTCTTATGCTTCATGTTTAAAGTTGAGAAGTTATTTCAATTTCCAAGTCCATTCAATATCTAGTCATTCTTGGTAGATTCCTAAATAACTAATGGATCGATTACTTCTAATTGTGGTTATGATACCTGTCTATTAGAAACTAAAACCACTAATATGAACAGCTTTCAACTCTAAATTCCATTGGTGGCCACCTTATATAGTTGGAACTTCTAGATTCAACTTTTTATATCACAGGAATATTATTCGCAATTTTGTTTAATG